CTCATGCCAGGCATATATGTATGTGTGCCCAAAATCCAAAATCCAAAGATGAAAATGGAGAAAGGATTGTGGCATGGCCATTCCCCCTCCGGAGTGACTTCTTGCTTTCTGTCTCTGGTAAGCGCATGCATCCTACAGCAAAACCTCCAAGAAAAAAAAATAGTCTTTTATTCAATGATTAGAATTTCAAAACTCACAGTGAAAACAAATCAGTGAAAAGAGTGCCAAAACTGGAAGTCAAAAAACCTGAGTTCTAGAACTGGCCCTTTTGTTAAGAGGTTGTACATTCCTAGAGAGATTTTTCTACTTTGCTTTTTCATTCAATAAATATTTATCCAGTGTGCTCTTCCAGAGGGAAAGTGAGAGCTACATCATCCTCAGCGGAGCTCCCAGTGGAGCGCCTGGTAACTACAAAATAATCTGCAAAATGCAGACTGACCTAGGTCGTCTCTACTGTCCCTTCTATCCCGTAGGTCCTAGGATTAAGTCCACACAAAGAGGGCTTTGGTGGCCAGTCTGGACAGCTTCGCTCCACCTCTTCTCCTTCCCCTGAATGTCCGTATCCCCCTACCCCCCTCTCAAAGCCTCTCAGATTGGATTAATATGAGAAAGAACGGAGACAGGGCTACGTGGGAAAACCCTTTTGTAAAACGTTGGTTTCCTCCGGGATTCCCACTGCGGAGGAGTTGGGAAACTGCCTTAAATGTTCCGGTCTCTGTCTCCATCTGCCGGTTAAAATGCCACATTGCAGCCTCAAAGCCATAACTGGAAATGTCGCCTAACAGAAGGGGACTCAAGATTAAGTGTCTGAATTTTCTATTTGCTGGCTAATCTAGCATCTTGATGGTGTCCTTCATTTGGACATGAAAACTCAGTCTTCTTTCAACTCCTGCCCTGTTTAAATTTATATATTTATTTCTTCGGTGAACAAGAGAGAGGCACCCCCAACAGCCCACACCTGGATCCCCCTCCAGCCTCAGCCAGTGGGGATCGCAGACATGCACCCCACTTGACAGGGGAAACTCTTTTTTTTTTTTTTAGAGGTTTTTGCTATAGGGCACATGCCTTCAACAGACA